ATTTTGAGGTTGCTGTGAGCTAGGCTGACACCACAACAGCGCTCTAGCTTCAGCTACAGAGTGAGATTTTGTCTCAAAAAAAAAAAAAAAAAAAGGAAAAAAAAGAAAAACCCGAACAACTAAAAATTAAGACCTAGAAAGTCTTTGTACTTTTACAGTATTTTGAGACAAAGCCCTTGCTTCTAGTGCTAAGAGCAATTCAAGCGGACAGCTTTGCAGCTGAGCAAGTTAAAAAATGACAGTGAAGAACCAAGATTGAAGATGCTACTCACATACAGAAGCACCTTTAAGTGTAATGTGTGGCTGATTAAAAAATGTCTAGAAATCAATAAGGTATCCAAGTGGATGTTGTCTTCTTATAATAAGTTTCCTCAGTGATGTTGATTGACATAGTTTGGAATTTCCTTCAGAGCTCACGACATGTTCATTTGAATTGCCTCAACAATAACAAATATTGCTTTGGGGAGTTGAATTTGAGGTTTGTTAATTGCCAAATGCTACCTAAAAATGAATAGTGGTGAATGAAGAGGTAATCAAGTTGGGCAAATACCCATTGTGAGCTAGCTAAAAAGGAATTAAAAAATTACAGGACATTTTCTTACTAGACTTAGTTGATTCATTTATTTGACTTTTAAGCACTTCCAAAAACATTATGAACAGTGGTAACATCCCCAGATAAGTATGCAGCTCCCAGAGGCAACTACTTTGAGAGTCAATATTTGAATATTTGGATTACATAATGCATATGGGGCTCTTTACAGTCAAAGCTCCTATGTATGGATCAGTTTTCATCTAATGTACTATTTTCTGTAGGCTGACTCTTTTCGTGCCTCTCTTTGGACTTGTAATTCCTGTCTTTATTCTTTTTATCTGGAGTTAATTATTCTTCCTTCTTCTGTGCAACTGCCAGATATATTGATACGGCTAATGCTTTGGAGCAAGAAACTAAACTGGGATTACGACACTTTGAAGTTTGTGACAACGTTGATCTTGAAACTATTTTGATGGAGTATGAGAGCTATTATTTTATAAAATTTCAGAAATACCCCAAAATTGTCAAAAAGGCATCAGATACAGGTACATGGCTATTTTCTAGAGATAAGTCTTTATCTTTAAGAGTAGTGTTTCTTCCTCATCTTATTCCCACATAATTGGCGAGCCCTACCCTGCACTGAAAGAGTAGACCTGAAAAACTGTGTAGCTCCTCTTAGATCCTGTGCAAAAAATTTGAAACATTAGGCTTAGCGCCTGTAGCTCAGCGGTTAGGGCGCCAGCCACATACGCCGGAGCTGGCAGGTTCGAATCCAGCCTGGGCCTGCCAAACAACAATGAGAACTATAACCAAAAAATAGCTGGAAGTTATGGTGGGTGCCTATAGTCCCGGCTACTTGGGAGGCTGAGGCAACAGAATTGCTTAAGCCTAGGAGTTTGAGGTTGCTGTGAGCTGTGACACCATAGCACTCTACCAAGGGCGACATAGTGAGACTCTGTCTCAAAAAAAAAAATTGAAACATTAATATCTGGACATTGGCATCCCTCTAGTCATGTTGGCATTTGTTTAAGGAATGTATGTTAGGGCCGTGAAAACAAAACCCCAGTGTATCATGGGTACTTTGCAGAAGACCAATATTACTTTAATTTCTTCAGAGATGAAAAGAGCTATTGGAAGAGGATAAAGGACAGAAGACTTTCTTTTAGGAAGACCTATTATCTATCTTGAAAATAACATGAAAATGAGTATTGGGGAAGCTAATAGCTCATGTATAGATAATGAAATGCTTTTGAAAGCCATCAATCCAGATAATGATCAATATAATGCAAAGACCCAGTATAGGTTAGCAGTCAAGGAGGCTGGCCGGAGGAAAGATCTAAAGTGAAGGCCCCATGCTCTGTAGTAACATTGACTTAGAAGTCTGTAAGTGGGGGAAGTAATTATAAACCAAGGGAGATCATTGTCCTGTTTACAAGGCACTCGTTAAGCCACAGACTTTAACATTTCATGTAGGGACCCGGAAACCAAGAGGAGCATCAATTAAAAATAGCCAGGGCCAAATCTCAGAGTTAGAAGGGGTCTAATAGATATTTTATTTGGGCTCCCTTCCAATTCAGGGTTCAGAGCTTGGCTTCCTTGGCTGGTTGTTAGATCTGAGTCTGGAAGAGAAAGCATTGACTAACCACAGGGTGATTGGCACTGGTAGTGACACAAGCTTGTTTCCAGACAGCTAGTTCTTACCTAGTGTGATACATTCTTTCATGATATTGGGCACAGGATCTCCATTTTAAAATAAACTGGCACTGCACTGCTGGTGGGAATGCAAACTAATACGTTCCTTTTGGAAAGATGTTTGGAGATCACTTAGGGATCTAAAAATAGATCTGCCATTCGATCCTGCAATTCCTCCTCTAGGTATATATCCAGAAGACCAAAAAAAAAAAAAACTTTATAGCAAAGATATTTGCACCAGAATGTTTATTGCAGTCCAACTCATAATTGCTAAGTCATGGAAGAAGCCCAAGTGCCCATCGACCCATGAATGGATTAATAAATTGTGATATATGTACACCATGGAATATTATGCAGTGTTAAAAAAAGATGGAGACTTTACCTCTTTTGTGTTTACATGGATAGGGCTGGAACATACTCTTCTTAGCATAGTATCTCAAGAATGGAAGAAAAAGTATCCAATGTACTCAGCCCTACTATAAAACTAATTTATAAGCACCCACACTTACATATGAATGCTATAACCGTACTATAGCCTAAGATGAAGGGGAAAGAGGAGGGGGAGGGGAGAGGTAGGGGAAGGATGGGCAGAGGGAGGGTAATTGGTGGGACCACATATATGGTACATTTTACAAGGGTACATGTTATATCTACTAAGTGTAGAATATAAATGTCTTAAGACAATAACTAAGAAAATGCGGTGAAGGCTATGTTAACCAGTTTGATGAAAGTATTTCAAATTGTATATGAAACCAGCACATCGTATCCCATAATTCCATTAATGTACATAGCTATGATTTAATAAAAAAATTAAAAAATAAATTAAAAGATAAAACAAACTGGCAGAGTATGATTAAATGGTTCCTGCCAGACTCATGCAATTATCCTGGTGTGCCATGCATTGTAGCAAAATGGTGTCAAGTTCAGAAAATTTATGAAATGGTAGCTATAAAACTAGTCCACGTTGGAGTTGCCACCAGGTCCAAAAATGTGTTTAATATCTGAGGCCTTTGGGGTCTTTCTCTGTATGGAGATGCTGGAGAAGCCAAGATTCTTTCCCTTCACTGGTAAATTCACTATCTCTAGATGAGACTAGCTTGGAGTCTCTGAATTCCAGTAAGTGATAGCACATATTTTAAGAACAATGTAAAAGGAGAAATAGACCTGAAATAATCGCTTCCTCTCCTAAAATTAAATTCTTTCCTTTTCTCTCAATGTTTGTTTTGTCACAGCAGAAACTAATTTACCACAAAGAAGTGGAGGGAAGACCCGAAGGTAAAGTGAATGGGTAATTCATCTCGATGAACTCACCTCTAGGAGTGTGTGAGATCCATTTCCCGGGGATTCTCCAGTGCAGCCCCATTACCATCTCCCAGCAATACCGGCTGTGGTCATGAGACCTTGCTGGGCTCAGCCAGGGATGCCCCTCATGGTACAGCTGTCTGGGATTTGGGTCAATGTCTGTCTGTTCTCCTGGCTTTACCACAAAAGCACCTCTAGTGATGCTCTGTGTCTCTGGGCCTGTGATATGGCAAGTATGGGCCTCAGTGGTTAAAAGGCCCAGGCTCAGTTCCTGGCTCTGCTAGTTGCAAACATGGAGCAAGTTTCTGACACATACTGAGTTCCTGGCACATAGTGAACACTTAAGAAATATTATTTCCCATTTTGAATCATTTAGTTAATCTCTCGGTGCACTCTCAGATCACATGCCCTGAGCTTCTTAAGGAGGCACTAGGCAGTAAACCAGGAGGGTCACACTCACACTTGCACCTTCTCTGGTGCTGGCCATGGGGGCTTGTTCTCCATTTGCTTTTCCCACCTTCTCTCATGCTCATCTTATATTCTGTTTATCTGACTTCTCAACGCTAATTCTCATTTGGGACGCACAGCATCTGATGGGAGCCCCTGTGCCTCTCAGCCCTT